TTCCCCAACCAGGGATCGAACCCGCGCTCCCAGTGGACCACCAGGGAAGTCCCTAGAGTTCTCTTTTCAAATTAGTTCTTAGGCATTTCTGGTCCTTTTTAAAACTTGTAATTTTGAACTATGTGATTTAATTTATTGTGATCTTCAGTGTTCTCAAAAAATCAAGATACAGAAGGTAAAGGTACAAGTAAGGAATTTAGTATGAAGGTTACTATCGTACTTTGACCAATAGTAACCTTTGTATCAACTTTCCAAGTATACTGCTTGGAAAGTGCTTACGGACCCCCTCTGGTGGCCGAAAGGTTATGCTTTTTCCTCCCCCTAAAATGAGGAGGAGTATTATGACAAAGGTGTGGTCTCATTACTGTAATATTTAAAAGAACCCCACCTTGTACTATATAGGACATGTTCAGTAAGTACGTCATTGAACCAAAATGGCATTATATGTTTATATAAAACACATTAATGAATACTGCTTACAAACACAAGATATCCCGTCATGGTTTTTTTGGTAAAGCAATTTGTGTGACGGAATCTTAAAACATATATGTTAAAAGGAGGAAATATCCTATAGTGACTGCATTTGAATTCCACATTATTAATTTTAGATGGAAATCGATGTTTTAAAAAATACTATTTTGGTGATTAGAGGTTGTAAATAAGTTCCACTTTTTTCCTGTGGAAAAGCGGGATTAAGAAAAAAGCTATATACCTTTAATGTATTATCCCTAAAATTGTACCAATGAGATTTTGAAGCCATGTTACAATTTTTAAGAACATTTAACAGTGTATATCCATTGTGAACATAAAGAAATTTATTCCCATTTTCCTCACCCCACCTTCAAAACAAAGATTATAAATTCAGGATGAGTAGTGTTGCCTTTCAGGTGAACATCTTAGAAAGCCCCAGTAGATGTCAACAGCATTGCAACTTTTCAGAATAGTTTTATATCTTTTAGAATAATTTTTAGCCCCTGTGACAAAATGTTTTTAAAATATTGATATCCCTGGGTGACCTCCCTGGTGACCCAGTGACGAAGACATTGTGCTCCCAGTGCAGGGGTCCCAGCATCAGTTGATCCCTGGTCAGGGAACTAGATCTTACATGCAACTAAGAGTTTGCATGCCACAACCAAAAGAGAAAAAGATCCTCCATGCCACAAATAAAACTCAGCATAGCTGACTAAATAAATAATAACATTTTTAATTATTAAAAATAAAAGAAAAATATTGATATCTTTGATAGATTTTTGAGAGAAATCCAGTACCAAATTAAGCCATGTCATGTGAATAGGAAAGGTAGTCAAGCTTAATTATACAGTTTGTAGCTATTCCTTTAAAGTAGTAAGACAGTTTTAAAATTTTTATTCTGCAACTCCCCAAAATGATTTTAGATAGCTCCATTTTGTGTCTGTATCATAAAATTACTCTCAATATTATAATAGTACCTAGGAATCTTTGATGCAGTGACAGCATTGTTGGCAGAATGATAGGTGTTTCCAGAATGACAAGTTTTTAAATAGGGGGAATTCATTTGTATGTGCATGTATATATTTGTTAAGCACTTAGATTATTTTTAAAGTTGTCCCAGTGCAGTTACTGAATGACAAATGAACCCCCACTATCTAAACTGAGAAAATGAAATTGATATTCATGAGTATACTATATATTTTCCTTTAGAATGATATATATAATTTATAATACAATTTATTTAAGTGAAACTTTGTTAGAAATAGAAACACAATTATTCTAAATGCTCAGACTCAATAGTCACTTACTATCCATTACTTAAAATGTACAGCAACATTACTGCTATAGTAGAGTCTTTTGTTCTGTCATGCCTTTGTTGTAAGGAGATATTACTGTTTTGAAATAGTGGAACCTGAAGAAACAGACAAGAATATAAGAAGTATCTTTTAGAATCAAAAACTGTTTAGTAAAGTTTTGTAGTGTTTGTATTTTGTTTCAGGATCTTAAAGTTTTGACTTACTCTGTTTAGGACTCATTGATATAAAGCATGTAAATGGAGAGGGTAGATTCATTTGGATTTGAATTTCAAATTGTTTGGTTCTAAATATTTTTAAATAAATATCTAAAATTATTTTTAAATAAAATTTTGATTGAAAACTATGAGTTTTATATTTAAATGGACAGTTTGAATTAATTACTGGTTAGAAATGAATGACATGCAAGTATCTGAGATAAGTGACTTCTGAAGTGCTTTATATTTATAGTTCATTACATTTAATAGTCCATTAAATCTATTTAGTCCAGTAGATTTTTCTTAATTTTAATTCCAGTCTTCTATATTTAAATCTATGAAAAAGTTTACCAAAACAGCACAACAGTTAAAATGTAGAAACCCTGTGCTCAGAAAGTTAGTATTCCTGTCAGATGAGAGACAGAGACGAGAGTGGCAAGAGACCTAGGTCAGTGCCTTTGTTCCAGGACATGTGATTTAAAAAGTCTTACTTCTTAAATGAGTTAATACGATTTCTGTAATTAGAATTCTCTTATTGGGATTCTGTTATACTGACACAAGCTTACCTTTTTTTCTTTAGCTTTTATTGAGGTACAATTTATAAACTGTATCATTTTAACTGGACACTTTGAGTTTTGACAACTGTAATGTATTCCCACCGAAATACGTCTCTATAGGTAGCGTCCCCACTGTACCCTGGCCTGCTTTTCTCATGGACTAACTTTGTCTTTTTTTTTTTTAATCAGTTTTCTTGAGGTACAGTTTATATACAATGCATATACTTAACCCTTTCATTAATAGTTTCCCTGGCACCAGAATACTTACTTCGTAATTTCTACCTCATTACTAAAGTATTGCTTTCCTCTGAGATAGGGAGTTGTGTAGGGTGATAGAAGTCTTGGAGAAGAGCTTTGATTCCATCTAGTCATAAGTTTATGGAGTGCAGGAGGAAAAGAGGGTGACAGAGGGTTGAGATGGCTGAATGGCATCATCAGCTCAATGGACATGAATTTAAGCAAACTCTGGGAGATAGTGAAGGACAGGGTAGCCTGGTGTCCTGCAGTCCATGGGGTCGCAAAGAGTTGGACACGACTGAGTAGCTGAACAACATAAGTATATGTGTAATTTGTCATGAAATTCACAGTTAAGAACATACTGCAGTACCTTTTATAGCTAGAATGTTTTATGAACAATTATTACTAAAGTATGACAATTTTATTTTGAATCTTTAACAATCAGTATGTGCTAGGAGCTTGGACTTTGGGAAGCATATGCTAGGTATGATACTGAAAATGATTAGGTATTATTTTACTTCTTAAGTTTATGACTAGGATTAAAATTGTGTACAGTACTTTTAAAATCTACAGTAGAAAGTAATCAGAGACCCTAAATACTTGAACAGGTTTTAGGTACTTGGAACTTATTTTTTCCAAATGTTCGATTCCTTTGTCTATATTTTTGAAAAGTGAAAATTAGTAGTTCAGCTGTGTCCAACTCTCTGTGATCCCACGGACTGCATGTAGCCCAGCAGGCTCCTCTGTCCAGGGAATTCTCCAGGCTAAAGAGTACTGGAGTGTGCTGCCATCTCCTCCAGGGGATCTTCCTGACCCAGGGATTGAACCCAGGTCTCCTGCATTGCAGGCGGATTCTTTACCATTTGAGCCAGGAGGGAAGTACTGCATTTTCCTAGGGAGGATGAGATACAAAGTTGGTACTCTAAAGCAGGGGTCTCCAACCTTTTTGGCACCAGGGGCCTGTTTGATTGAAGGTAATTTTTCCACAGATGGGATCAGGGGATGGTTTCAGGATGATTCAGCTGCAGCAGTGGGAAGCAGCTGTAAATACAGATGAGGTTTCACCCACTTACCTGCCACTCACCTCCTGCTCTGCAGCCTGGCTCCTAACAGGCCACAATACTGGTACCCGTCTATGGCCCCGGGGCTTGGGGGCCTCTGAAGAGTAGCAGCTCTTCAAAATTAGATCACCGTGCTGAGTCTAAATAGAGCCTTCTATTGTGTGATCACAGAATAGGTTGGGAAAATTGGGGATTTTTTTTGTGTCACGAACTGTTAAGGTCACTCCAAAAATGGAAAAAATTGCAACTGTCTTACCGCAGGTCCAGGTCCAGGAGTAGTAATGAAATACAGCTATTAAAATTGAGTAGCAGATGCCATAATCATAATAGGTTAGGAATGGTTGAGAATACAGAGTCAGACTGCCTGAAATAACAGGAAAGGCTTCATTGAGACAGAGATACTTGAGCTATGTCAGGATAAGTAATTTGTCTATAAAGAAACAGTACTTGGTTTCCTTTTTTTTTTTCTTTGGGTCCTTGTTCTACCAAAATTTTTTACCATGGAAAAATATGAATGACGATCTATCATTTTAGCTTTTTAACTGTATAATTCTGTGACATTAAATTTATCCACATTGCTATTCAACCATCATCACATCTGTCTCCAGAACTTCTTCATCTTATCCAGCTCTGTACCTAGTAGATTCTAACACCTCATTCTCCTATCTTCCTAGCTCCTGATAACCACGATCCACTTTCTGTCTCTATGAATTTACCTACTATAGGTACTTTCCTATTGTAAATGGTTAGCCCACTAGCCCAGCATGTAGTTGGTATTCAGTACATTTCTAAGTTAATGGCAGTTAGCAGTTGAAACACATTGCTTATGCCAGTGGATTGCCTATATTTCTTGAGTGAACTCTTATTTCTAATTATTGTTCCAATAACCTTATTTTTAAATTTTTTACAATAACCTTATTAGCTTATACGGAAGCTTTTGTTTTCTCAACTGTTTTTTCCAGTTTTATTGAGATAAATTGATCATGTAATATTGTATTAGTTTAAAGTTTACAGCATAAAGATTTGACATATGTATATATTGTGAAATGCTTGCTACAGTAAGTTTACTTAACATCCATCACCTGACATGGTTAAAAAGTTTTTTCTTGTGATGATTAAGTATTTTTTATTTAATTTTTTCATGTAGTTTACTTTTCTTTTTAGACTGAATCTGGATATGGATCTGAATCCAGCTTGCGTCGACATGGCTCAATGGTGTCATTGGTATCCGGAGCAAGTGGCTACTCTGCAACATCCACTTCCTCATTCAAGGTTTGCAATTACGAATGCTTTAAGTTAAGGCAGCATAAATGGAGTTTAGCACTGAATGTTGTGAGCAGAACTTATCTAATAGTTTTTGAAAGAAAATCTTTCGTAATTTCCCATCACAATGTTAATTTGAAAATGGTAAATATTAATGAGCAGCGAGCTGTCGGGCTTACCTCTCTCGTTCCCTTCAGGCTTCTCACTGTCACACAGACAATCAGTTTCGAGCCTTTCCCTGAAACACTGCATTGAGCTTGACAACTCCTCCTGCCCCAAGCCCTCAGTAGGAAAATACAGACCTTAAAAGATGGTGAAATCCCAGACTTCGTGATACTTAAGTCGCTCAGTCGTGTCCGACTCTTTGCGACCCCCATGGACTGTAGCCTACCAGGCTTCTCCCTCCATTGGATTCTCCAGGCAAGAGTACTGGAGTGGGTTGCCATTTCCTTCTCCAGGGGATCTTCCTGACTCAGGGATCGAACCCAGGTCTCCTGCACTGCAGGCAGACGCTTTACCCTCTGAGCCACCAGGGAAGCCCAGTTTTGACTTTGTGAACTTGGATTGCATCCCCTATTTTCTGTGTTGCAGAAGGGCCACAGTTTGCGTGAGAAGCTGGCTGAAATGGAAACCTTCAGAGATATACTGTGTAGACAAGTTGATACTCTGCAGAAGTTCTTTGATGCCTGTGCTGATGCTGTCTCCAAGGATGAGCTTCAAAGGGACAAAGGTTAATTAGGCTATTACCACTATTTTTACTTGGAGAATGAATGGATTTAAAGCCTCTTGATCTTAAAGGGTAATGTCTTTAAGTGATCAAGGTAATTATAGTCACTTCTGCTGCACATCACTAATGTCACAGATTTCAGTGTCCAGTAACTTGTGTACTTTAATAGCACCTTAATCTGATCACCCATACCAGATGTCATTGAAGATTTTAAAATTATTTTTGAACTCTTTATTTTATTAAAAAATGTAATATCATCTTGATAATACAAAGCATTTCACATGATTATGTCTAATAAATTGTACCCTATGACAAGTCTTAAGAGACAAGCATATGTTTTTGTGAAATCCTCCACATCGGGAATCAGTTGGTCTTTTTTCCCCTCCCTCTTCCTCTTTTTCCTCTCCCTCTTTCCTCTCTTCCTCTGTCTTCCTTTCTTCTTCCCTTTTTCTCATAAAGGAGGAAGTCTGGGTAATGGAATAGAATAATAATGGAATGACATGTACATATATATAAGTCATTTCTAGTGAGGTTTTTTCCTTTAAGAGTTAAGAGAGAGAGAGATGATATTTAGTTAACCTGTAATATGAATTCTAAAGATACTTTTCATTTGTCACTGCTGAATATTACTGGTGTCGTATCTGTTCTTCTGTTTTTCTCTTAATCTGCGACATAGGCAAAAATGAACTACTCATAACAGTATTACTAAATAGTGCTAAGTTTATTCCCAGTATGACTAGGTTACCTGACATGATTTTGTTTTTTGGTCTTATTAAATGTGTTTAATGTGGGTTTATATTCTTTCTGTTACAAGATGGCTGAGTAGAAGAACATGAGCTCATCCCTTCTTACATATTCTTTTTCTGTTCTCTGTTCTTTTTTCCCTTTCTCTACCTTCTTTTGGATTGAATATTTTTTGTAATTCTATTTTTTATCTCCTTTGTTGACTTTTTGTTAAATTTGTTATTATAGTGGCTATACATTTAAGTTATTACACTCTACCCTCAAGTAATATACCACTTCTTTTATTGTGTAAAAACCTGGAGTAGTGTATTTCCATCTCTCCCCACTACTGAGGCAAAGCAGCTCAGCATTCTGTAGCCAGTTCCCTGTGTATTGTCCCAGGTCTGTGTTGTTGGGACAGACACTTTCCCTGCTCCACGCAGACTTTGGGTCCTCTTCACTGGAATCCTTGCAGATGGTTCTTTCTGTGCCCTCTGTAGTTCCTTAGCTCACATGTGCTATCGGCACTCTACACAAGACTCCCAGTGGGGCCTTCTGCCCCTCCGCAGAGTTGTCTCTCTGCACAGCGCTCTTCTCCCAAGCACTCAGCCTTCTGAACTCTAGTGACCTTTGTCCATCTGGATTTTCAGCTCCATTTTCTCACCTCAGAGAGTACCAGGCTCCTCCTGAGTTCCTCCTTACTCCACAGCTTGGAAACCCTCACCTCAGTAGACTGGACCAGTCACAGGACTCACATCATTTGTTTCCCAGCCCTTAAGAATCACTGTCCTTTGTTGCCTGATAGCCAGTGTCTTGAAATCCATTGTTTCATATATTTTGTCTAATTTTTTAATTTCATGCCAGAGGGTAAATTCTCTCCTTGTTGCTCCATCTTTGTCTGAAGCAGAAGCCCATATTCCTCTTAAAATACTTAATTTTATCTAAAGTAGACTTGAAATTCTTTATATTTGATACTCTTTAATTTTTTGGCTCTTTAATATTTAATGTTTCTCTCTCTAAAAAATAAAGATGGTTGAACTTCTATTTCTCATTAATCAAAAAAAGTATATATACTTTTTTTCTATAAAATTAGACCTTACATATCAGCTTTCATTTGCTTGCAGACAGCCCTTTAAACTAAAACAAGGTAGACACAGATTTGAATTCTTCTTAGTTTTTAAGTGGTTCGTGTCTCCATGTCAATAATACATAGCATTTTAAGGATGAAAGTGATGGTGGAAGGAGCGGAAATTGGCATGCATTCACAACCAAGTTGTGTAGAGGATTTGAAAAATACCTTTAAACACTATTCGTGTTTGACTGCATAGCAGCAGTGATGTGTGTGTGCGTGCTCTGTCATGTCTGACTCTTTGTGACCCCATGGACTGTGGCTGCCAAGCTCCTCTGTCCATGGGGTTTCCTAGGCAAGGCTGCTGGAGTGGGTTGCCATTTCCTTCTCCAGGGGATATTCCTGACCCAGGGATCAAACCCACATCTCTTGCATCTCCTGCATTGCCGGTGAATTCTATACCACTAGTGCCACCTGGAAAGTGCAACAGTGACAGACTAATATATTAGTTTGCTAAGGCTGCCGTCACCAAAGTACTCCACCACCTGTGGTTTAAACACCAGAAACTTATTTCTCCACAGTATGGAAGCTAAAAATGTGAGATCACTGTTTTGGCGAGTTTGGTTTCTTCTGAAACCATGAGGGTCATGAGGGAAGGATCTGTTGTAGACGTCTTTCCTTGCCTTGTGGATGAGCATCTGCTCCACATGTCTTCACATTATCTTCCTTCATAAGTGTCCGTGTCCAAACTTCCTTCTCCTATAAGGACACTGGTCGTCTTGACATATTGACTAGGCCCATCGTCATGACCTCATTTTAACTTGATTACCTCTGTGAAGACCGTGTCTCCAAATACAGTCATAGTTTGGAGTATAGGAAGGTTAGGACGTCAACATGTGAATTTTGTTGTGGTACAATTCAGCCATAACAACTAATTTCCCTATAAATGGCTATTTTGCAAAATTTTATTTTTAAGAGTACGTGCTGGGTAAAGCTGAAATAAGAACATGGAATAAGAACACTAAGGGCCATAGTTTCTTGCTTCGACTATACATCAGAATTGCCAACCTGAGGATCTCTGTAGGTGTAGTAATACTTTCACTAAATTACCAAGACTAAATTATCTGTAACTTTAATTTTTAGAATCACACGCTTCTTTCATTGTGTGTCATTGAAATGATAATAGAAAGCTCTCATTTTAAGTGTTCAGTGTTTTTATTTAAAACATTTTATTATAATTGCTAGTAAGACTGAATGCCTCCCACCACCCCCCCACCCCCACCCCCACCACACACACACACACACTCTTCAGTAAGATTTAATTAATCATTTAGGTCCAGATAGATGGCACTGGTGGTAAAGAACCTGCCTGTCGATGCAGGAGACGTGGGTTTGATCCCTAGGGTCAAGAAGATCCCCTGGAGGAGAAAATGGCAACCTACTCCAGTATTCTTGACTTGAGAGCCCCATAAAAGAGGAGTTTGGCAGGCTACAGTCCATAGGGTCACAGAGTCAGACAGGACCGAAGCAACTTAACACACACACAGAAACAAGACATACATACATATTGAAAGTAAAGGTTCTGATCTTGTTTTTGTAGTCATTATTAGTTTGATGACTTAAAATACTTATCAATTTCTGCACATCTCTTTCCTCTGTAACATGGATGTTGTTACATAAGCACATGATTGTGAGATTTAAATTAGAATATGTATGTTAGCACTGTGCTTAGTAGCAAAAAATCAATTAATAGCTGCTGTTATTAATATGGTTAATTTGGATAATTGCAGGGGTAATGAAAGCAGGAATGTATAAGATCCAAAGATGGAATTTTTAGCATAATAGATATGAGTGTTGGTGAGGGAGAGACTGGTCTGATAGGGATGGGAGATTTGTATTAGGCTAGTGTTTCAAACCATGTCAGATATCCCTTAAAGGTGCTTCAGTATGGACAAGGAGTCCTTGGTTGGGAAGGGAAGGGGAAAGGCCACTTTTTTACCAAGAGGAGCTTTTGTTTTCATCAGTTTTATATGTTGATTATTTGCTTTAAAAAAAAAAAAGGTTGAAAATTCCTGTTTGATAGTACTAGGCTAGTGAATGGTTAGGGAGATGAAAGCAAATCTTTAGTAACCCAAGGTAGATGCTGAGGAGATGAAAGAAGTGCAAAAATTTCAGTATTGAAGACCAGTTAATCATAGTAGTATTGAGCCAAGGTCAGGATCCTGTCTGAGGACTACTGATGACTTAAAGTCAGAGCAGCTTTATGGTAAAATTTCTTAAAGTGAAAGTGAAGTTGCTCAGTCATGTCCGACTCTTTGCGACCCCATGCACTGTAGCCTACCAGGCTTTTCCGTCCATGGGATTTTCCAGGCAAGAGTACTGGAGTGGGTTGCCATTTCCTTCTCCAGGGGATCTTCCCGACCCAGGAATCTAACCTGGGTCTCCCGCATTGCAGGCAGACGCTTTACCCTCTGAGCCACCAGGGAAGCCTGTTTCTTAGAATTGACCTTATTTGCAAATTATTGATGAGAAGCCAGAGATCCACAGAATCCAGAAATTTGATTAATCTTGAAACTAAAGTATTTGCAGAAACTAAAATATGGATATTGAAGTCTGTAGGAATGATGGGTGTGGAAAAGAAACATGTCAGTTGGATACTGATAGCAGTTAGCTGCTGATAAAATAGTAGGTGTTAGTATTAATAGATAATGGCAGCTTGTGGTTTGAAAATTATTATAAATAAGTACGAGTTTTTCAGGTAATAAAAAAATGAAATAGCCCACTAATTAGAAAGTGGTAATACTGAATAAAGGTATTTTCCATTTAGTCAGGGAAGGAATAAGAAATAGGAATAGGCTTTGCTTCCATTAGAGAGAAAGTTAAAATAGATGAAATGTTCCTTGTACAGCCAAATTGCTCCTGACGTAAGGAGATATAGACAAGAAGTAAGACATTAGTTTAATGTGAAGATTTCTCTTGTAGAAAGGGAGTTCAGCAAAAGACAATATTAGGTTGATACAAACACAATTATGATTTCAGACCATGCATTTTAAGTCATTATTGTTGTTCAGTTGCCAAGTCGTGTCTGACTCTTTGCAGCCCCATGGACTGCAGCATGACTAGACTCAAACACATCTTTATTAATCAAAATAAGAATCATTGCAATTAACACATTTTTGCCAATGAGAAATAAATTTGCTTATTCCTGCAGCATAAAAATCCATGCTTTGGGATTCAGTGAACTGTTGGAAAGCATTTTCTGCATCTTGTTAGTTGTGGAAGTATTTTCCCTGCAAAAAGTTGTCTAGATGCTTGAAGAAGTGATAGTTGGTGAGAGCTCAGTAAATATGGTGGTTGAGGCAAAACTTTGCAGCCCAGTTTGTTCAACTTTGGAAGCGTGGGCTGTGCAAGGTACAGTCGGGCGTTGTCATGGAGAAGAATTGGACCCTTTCTATTGACCAGTGCCAGCTGCCAGCATTGCAGTTTTCCGTGCATCCGATCAATCTGTTGAGCATACTTCTCAGATACAATGGTTTTGCTAGGATTCAGAAAGCTGTAGTGGATCAGACTGGCTACAGACCACAGAAAAGTGACCATGGCCTGTTTTTGGTGCATGTTTGGCTTTGGGAAGTGCTTTGGAGCTTCTTGATCCAATACTGAGCTGGTCGTCATTGGTTGTCCTGTACAATGCACTGTTCATCACATGTCATAATCTGATCAAGAAATAGTTTGTTGTTGCTGCATAGATTAAGAGAAGACAATACTAAAATGATGATTTTTTAAAAATTCCCAGTCAGCTCATGAGGCACCACTTTTCAAGCTTTTTCACCTTTTTAATTTGCTTCAAATGCTGAATGACCGTAGAATGGTTGATGCTGAATTTTTCAGCAGCTTCTCGTGTTGTTGTAAGAGGATCATTTTCGATGATGGCTGTCACCTGTCATTGTCAACTTCTGATGGCCAGCCACTAGGCTGCTCATCCTCAAGGCTCTTGTCTCCTTTACAGAACTTCTTGAGCCCCCATAGCACTGTATGTTTGTTAGCAGTTCCTGGGCCAGATTCATTGTTGATGTTGTGAGTTGTCTGCACTACTTTACAAACCGTTGTGAACTCAAATGAGAAAATCACTCAAATTTGCTTTTTGTCTCGTATCATTTCCATAGTTTAAAATAAATATAAAATAAACAAGTAATAAATCATTAGCAAAAATAAGAAATGTGCATTAAAATGATATATAACATAACCATATTTATTTAGAATGTATTCCAATATCAAATGGCAAATTTCAGTAATGCAAAAGCTGCAGTTACTTTTGCTCCAACCTAATAAACCGAAGAAGCCATTCAAAAATATAGAATAAGGTTGGTGGCTGAGGTTTAGAAACTGATGAAGCAGAATTTTAGAAATTTTAGAAATTTAGAAGCAGAATACATAGTGCAGAGGATTCATATGTTAGGCAATATAAAAGGAGAGTATTGTATAGAAGAAAGAGGTATGTTGAAGAACACAGGGGATTCTGTATTTCCTGGAATTGGATAAGTTCAAAGGAATATCCAGGCACAGACATATTGGGATGAATTAAAATCAGTATCACAACTGTAAGTCGTTATATTTTCCCTGTGTATCCTGGAGGCAAGATAAAGTATCTTCTTTATGTATTGATACCATTACCATCCTCTTCAGTCTTTGTAGGCCTCTGGCAGAATTACAAAATCTCCCTAAGGTAAGGAGGAAGAGATATGAAGACTCAAAGGACAGAATAATTTATATCTCAGTACTATCCCTTACAAAAATGAGAATGGATATGGTTTTTATAATAAATGTATTTAAAGACATTTCACAGCATACTTCTTGGACATCCATTGATGAGCACTGAAAATACAAAGATGAATAAGATCGCATATTCAGGGAATCCAGAGGATATTTAATCAGTTGAACATAAGAATAAACTGGTTGATTTCTGTGTGCTTTCATCCTGATATTCTTAAATATATTTTACTTAGTGGTAGAAGATGATGAAGATGACTTTCCTACGACACGTTCTGATGGAGACTTCTTGCATAATACCAATGGCAATAAGGAAAAGGGTAAGTAGTAATATTTTCTCTCTCAGGGTATGTGGGAAAAATATACTTTCTAAAGTTACCTAATAACTAACTATTTAACAGGAATAATTATTTAATGGAGTAATTGGAAAAAGTCTTAAATTTTAAGTTGGAACATGAAAGTTTCTTCTAGGAAAAGATCATGGAGGTAAAATACAGTCTGACATTAAATAATATGACAGCTTATCTGACAAATATTTTGTTCTAAATTTTAGACATTGGCCATTTGTTTCAGTAGTGTTTGGTAGAATCAGTTTCTAGTACTGAAAAAATTATTTGTTAGGAAAGATTGTAATGGAACTTGAATGTTTCTTTAATGTTATTTCTGTCTTTAATGTTCTTTTCTCTTTCCACTTGATAAACTGGTTTTGCAATGGGTTTAATCAGTGTTACTAAAGGAAAATTATTAAAATAGCTGCTTTCATAGCACAGTTGTTCATAAATTCAGGAACAAGGTGGTTTATTTCATATATCAGTTAATAACGAGTTACTTTTTGGATGGAATTCCTAATTGTTCATTAGATATCTGTGTTTTTAACAATACAGATGAACATGGAGGGCATTATGCTAAGAAATGAACCAAAGACAGATAACACATGGTATCACATATATGTGGTATCTGCTGGGAGAAGTTAGGTTGCAACAGAAACCTGTGACTCGTAGTCAGTGCTTTCTTTTAATATATTCTAAGAAAAAGCTGACATGGATTCTTAAAACTTTAAGTTGCAAATAAGCCTTTGTGAGAAAAATAAGTTAATCTAATTATGCTTATTTTTGCTGAAGTTAAGAAAGAATATGAAGTAAAATCTGATTGTTTTTCAGTTGCTAAGTCCTGTCTGACTCTTTGCGACCCCATATACTGCAACATGTCAGGCTTCCCTGTCCTTCACTATCTCTTGGAGTTTGCTCAGATTCATGTCCGTTCAGTCAGGGATCCTATCTAACCATTTCGTCCTCTGTTGCCCTCGTCTCCTTTTGCCTTCAGTCTTTGCCAGCATCAGCTCTTTTCCGGTGAGTCAGCTCTTTGCATCAGGTGGACAAAGTATTGAAGCTTCAGCTTCAGTATCAGTCCTTCCAGTGAATATTCAGGATTGACTTCCTCTAGGATTGACTAGTTTGATCTCCTTTCAGTTCAAAGGACGCTCAAGAGTCTTCTTTAGCACCATAGTTCAAAAGCATCAATTCTGTGCTCAGCCTTCTTTATGGTCTAACTCTCACATCTATACATGATGACTATTGGAAAAACCATAGCTTTGACTATATGGACCTTTGTCAATAAAATAACGTCTCTGCTTTTTAATACACTGTCTAGGTTTGTCATTGCTTTTCTTCCAAGGGGCAAGCATCTTTTAATTTCATGGCTGCAGTTACCATCTGCAATGATTTTGGAGCCCAAGAACATAAAGTCTGTCACTGTTTTCATTGTTTCCCCATCTATTTGCCATGAAGTGATGGGACCAGATGCCATGATGTTAGTTTTCTGAATGTTGAGTTTTAAGCCAACTTTTTCACTCTCCTCTTTCATCTTTATCAAGAGGCTCTTTAGTTCCTCTTCACTTTCTGCCATAAGGGTGGTGTCATCTGCAATCTGAGGTTATTGATATTTCTCCAGCAATCTTGATTCCAGCTTGTGCTTCATCCTGCCCAGCATTTTGCATGATGTCCTCTGCATGTAAGTTAAATAAGCAGGGTGACAATATATAGCCTTAATGTACTCTTTACCCAATTTGGAACCAGTCCGTTGTTCCATGTCCGGTCCTAAGTGTTGCTTCTTGACCTGCATGAAGATTTCTCAGGAGACAGGTAAGGTGGTCTGGTATTTCCATCACTTGAAGAATTTTCCACACTTTGTTGTGATCCACACAGTCAAAGGCTTTAGAGTAGTCAATGAAGCAAAAGTAAATGTTCTTCTGGAATTCAAGGAAAGATATATAGAACAGTGAAATAGAATTGAGCGTCCAGAAGTAAACCTTATTTCATAGTAAAATAAATATGATCTTTTATAAGAGTGAACACAAGAAAAAATAGGTTTTTAAACAGCTTTATTGAGATGTAATTAACATACCATACACTGTATATATATTTAAAGTGTACAGTTTGGTCAGTTTTAATATTATCATGATGCTATCACCACCATCAAGACTGTCCTTCAAAAGTTCCCTGCTTCCATCCCTTTTGTCTTCCCTTTCTCTCCACTTCTCAACCAACCACAACCCTTCTGTCACTGTAGATTAGTCTGCATTTTCTATAATCTAATGAATTCAGTTCTTCTTGCCTGATCTCTTTCTTCATTTGAAATTTCTCATTGTTATGCATATCATTATTCAGTGTCTTTTCGTTGCTGAATAGTATTCCCTCGTACAGATGACATGACAGGTTTCTTCAGTCCATTGTCTGTTGGTCGAAATTTGGGTTGTTTGCAGTTTGGAGCTGTTATAAATAATGTTCCTGTGAACATTTAAACACAGTTTTTTATGGACATATATTTTATTTCTTTGGAGAGATGGCATGGTTGAATCATATGATAGGTATATATTTAACTTTTTAAAACCTTCCAAACTACTTTTCACCAGTCATATTTGAGAGCTCAAGTTCCTCCATATCCCCACTGACTCTTGATGTGGTCAGTCTTTTAGTCTTCTAATAGGTGTATAGTGGTATCTCACTGTAGTTTTAATTTGCTTTTTTCTAGTATCTATAAGTGTTGAGCATCTTTTTATCTGCTTATTTGCTGTTCATATTTCTTGTTTGGTGAAATGTGTATTCAGATCTTTTGTTCAGTTTTCAATTAGATTATATTTTCCTGTTGAGATTACTGTGTATTGTATTGATATATTAATATACTGAGATATTTATATTAATATGTAGTATATATATGGATAGATAGATAAAGAATATGTCCTTTATCATACGTATTCTGTGCAAAGGTTTTTTTTTCCAGTCTGTGACTTGTTTCATCATCGTTTTAAAAAAATTTATGTGGATATTATACATATTTGAGGTGAGACTTCCCAGGTGGCTCATTGGTAAAGAATCCACCTGCCAAGCAGGAGATGTGAGTTCAGTCCCTAGGTCAGGAAGATCCCCTGGAAAAGGAAATGGCAGCCCACTTCAGTATTCTGGCTTGGGAAATCCCATGGACAGTGGAGCCTGGTGGGCTACAGTCCTTGGGATCGAAGTGAGTCAGACACAACTGAGCAACTAAACAACAACAGAAACACATTTAAGGTGTTCAGTATAGTGATTTGGGGTATATGATTATGGTGAAATGATTACTGCAGTCAAGTTCTCTAACATATTTTTCTCAGTTACCATTATTTTATTACTAACTATAGATTAGCTCTCTAGACTTACTTATCCCCCAGCTGCAACTCTCATTCTTTTAACAGTGCCTTCAAGAGTAGAAACTTTAAAGTTTGATGAAGTTTAGTTTGTCAGTTTAATTTTCGGATTGTCGCTTTGCTGTCATATCTACATTATGAGTTTTTAAAGTTGGAAGAATTATTTCATAAGAGTTCTATTGAATGGTTTCTTATAAGTATAGTGCTCTGGGACTTCCCTGACTGTCCAGTGATTAAGACTCCACGCTTCCAGTGCAGGGGGTTGTGGGTTCGAACCCTAGTCAGGAAACTAAGATTGTACATACTGCGTGTGGTGGCCCAAAAATAAATGAATAAAGCTTAAAGATATTATTCTGTCTTGTTTGCATCTTATGAGTGTTTTTTTTAAGATTGTTCATTTAAAGACTAACTTTAAATTAAAATTATAATATATGAACATAACCATTTTTATGTATGCATTGGTCCCAGAATTATATTCAGACATTTACTTAAGTTTCTTATATTACCTTATTCATTTCAGCACTTTTTTTTTAATTCAGATTTTTTTTTAAATTCAGGTTTTCTCAAAATATAAGGTAGTTCTTGCCATAATTAGGTCTCACTCTAGGCTATCTGTTATTATTAAATTATTACTTCTTTACCACTTATTCACTGGGTATATCTTGGCAAACAGATTTCAGGAAGCAGAATCAGAGAAAAGAACTTGAGAGTGCATATGTTGTCCCAAGCTTCTTTGCTTATAGAGATGGATGGAAATTTTTAAGTGTTGGCCAACAGGAAGGCAGCTCCATTTTGAAAGTTCTGCTCTTATAGTTTTCTAAAAAATACCTAATTTTAAGTTGTAATGAGGAATGATTTCTTTGTTAAAAAGATTTATAGTGAATAATTTTTTTTTCCCCAGTATTTCCACATGTAACACCAAAAGGAATTAATGGTATAGACTTTAAAGGTGAGGCGATAACTTTTAAAGCAACTACTGCCGGAATCCTTGCTACACTTTCTCATTGTATTGAGTTAATGGTAAAACGTGAGGATAGCTGGCAAAAGAGAATGGACAAGGTAAGATTCTCTTTTCTTCTTTTAAAAAAAATAATCAGATTTTCTTTATATACCAATCAAACATTTAAGCCTAACTAACTTCTTAGGGAAAGATCTTTTGGTTGTTAGAAGTAGCAGGTGGTGCTAATTCTCTAAAACTTTAGAACATCTTAAATTCATTTTTTTAATGAGATTCATTGGTTATGTATTTGGATATTGTATGGTATGTGTTCTTCATTGGATTTTAACATAAAAGTTTTTCTAATGATAATAGTAATGCTTGGAGTAGAAGTATGAACCATTTCACATTTTCTAGCTTTATTGTCTGGAGAAGGAAATGGCAACCCACTCCAGTGTTCTTGCCTGGAGAATCCCAGAGACGGGGGAGCCTGGTGGGCTGCCGTCTATGGGGTCGCACAGAGTTGGACACGACTGAAGGGACTTAGCAGCAGCAGCTTTATTGTCTAACACATGAATGTATACTTAAGTTATATGAACTACTTGGTGTATATAAAAAGTACCAATTTATAAAGTTAAATATTAACTTACTGCATTCATGGCTGTGTATGTTTTCCAACATCACTGGTGTCGCTTAACACACATTTTGTTGTTCATTGAACATTTGCTTTATGTTCCCCTTTTCTACCTCTGTTTAAACTGCAGCACTGATAATAATGTTATAATATGAATCTTTAGTTCTAAGTGTGAAGTAGAGTTTGGCTCAGTGAATTTGTTTAGTAGGAAAACTTTTGTTTATAATTTAATATCATAAAAATGTTAGAACCAAAGCATATCTTAGAGAATTTAGTTGTAGTGCAGTGCCATCATTTTATAGAAGAAGCAGCTGAGGCCCAGAGGCTTGTCTAGAGGTATTAAGTAGCAGAATTAGAAGAATTTTACTCTTCTATATTTTAACTCTGGATATTAGGGCAGGTGTCAGTCAGAATCGTATCACCAATTAGTGAGTCATATTGCTTGCAGTATTTGGAGGTCTTAGCAATTTGAGCAGAACACTAAGGAAGCAGTGTCATCACTGATGTAATAGCAGAATGGCTATAGGTTTAATAGCACTTGATGTTTAAAAAAGGTTCACATGTTCTCGGGTGCAGGTGAAAGTAAGCCAGGTTGATTGACTATGTTTTCTTTTTAAACCAAGCAGTAAAAATATCCATTTAAGGTACATACAGGTACTTCATTATTATTCTGGAGGCAAACTGTTACCCCATCAATGATTTCAGTTGTGGATCATAGTGAATTTTTAGAAGAGTCACACACAAAAATAAAGTGTGAGAAAACAGGACATCCCCTTAAATTCACTAGACTACTGGTTCAAGAGAACCTTTCAACTTGTCCGGATTAGCTTATTCAAAACTTTCTGGTAGCTTTCTCTTAAGCACCCCCTACCCGCAGTCTACTAATCTACTAGAGAGTCACCATCTCCAGTCATGTGCTGTTAACGACACTGCCTAAAAAAATCCATTAAGAATAACACATGTCTTCCCCATCTTTTTGGCAATCAAATTTCTTATTTGAAAAGGGACATGGATTTGTAGTTGTCTTCAATACTGATAATCTTATCCATTCTCTTTCTTTACTGGGTAGCACCAGGTAGACTGTATCAAAGAATCTGTGAAAAAAAAAACCCACTTTTTTGGTACCATATTTAGCCAGATAACAGCACAAAAGATGGTAGTATTAATTGAAATCTGCAAACAACTGTAATTTATAGTGCTGTTACAAGTCTCATTCACCTTTTCCACCATCATGTTTTTTCTCAAGGTTGATATAGAATCCCAGTTACATTTTGCAGGAAATGTAAATGCATGTGTGCATATACAGTACATGCACATATATTTAGTATGTATGTACATATATATTCTTATATATATACACACACACTCTGTAAAGATTAGGAAATTCTTGAATAGAGAGAGTTGTTTATCAACAAACATGTCCTTGGCTCAGCTGGCAAAGAATCTGCCTACAATGCAGGAGACCTGGGTTTGATCCCTGGGTTGGGAAGATCCCCTGGAGAATACTCCAGTATTCTGACCTGGAGAATTCCATAGACTGTATGGTCCATGGAGCAAAGAGTTGGACACGACTCAGCTACTTTCACTTCACTTAGGTAATTGATATAATTGGGAAGGAAAGTACAATGATAGCAATATGGTTTAATTGAATTGTGTTTTTTTCAAGAAGTATTTGTATACTTGTTGTGTGCTAAACTGTAAGCTGGAAATGAGGAAACAGTAATGAACAGGAAGTCATTCTTGAAGGATGTTAAAATCTAATGAGAGCAATTAAATACGTGATAGTTGATAAAATAATAGCTATTTAATAGCTGTATACCTTTTATGTATATTTCTAATATATGTTTATCTAGTATATAGTAGATATACATATATAGTAGATATGTATAATATATATGTAAATCTTTATAGTCTCCCAATTTTTTGTTTAATAGCTCTTATGTAGATTTCTAACACTATATACATTGTTCTTATAGTTAAATAATTTAAAATTAATATTCTTCAGTGGTGATGATTTTTCTCAGTTACCTGTATAAATAATTCCTTCTTTTATAGAAGTATACTTAATTTTTAGCCAGTTATGTCCAAGAATTCTAAGATTAAGCAATTTTAGTTGTTAACAGTATTAATAAGAGAAAACCTATTCATCGAAGATGTTTGCTTATATTAATAGATTCACAGGTGTATAATTTCACATGTTTATTCACTTTCCTCAAAGTCTTTTTAGTGTTATTGCTGTTCTGTGTGTTTTTGTTTTGTTCATTTTTTTAAAATTAAGGTTTAATATATATACAGTGAAGTGTACCAATCTTAAATGTACTGCTAGATGAGTTTTATACATATGTATACTCCCCTGTAGCCACTACTGAAATCAAAATATGGAAATTTTATAACCCCCCCCATGTTTTTCATGCCTTTTCCTACTCCATACCATATCACAGCCTCAAGAAGTAACCACAGTTTTAACTTATTAATATATCCTTATAGATTAGTTTTGCCTGTTCTTGGACAGCATGTAAATGGAATCATACAAAATACACTCTTCTGTCTGGCTACCCCCTCCCCAACACTGATTGTGAAGTTCCTTCATCTTGTAACTTTTAGTGATAATTTGTTGTTTTTTATTGTTATAGAGTATTATTCCTGTATACTGTTCCTTAAATGATGCATTTCATTCTATGACTTTACTGTGTTTTTTCCTTTTTCCTGCTGATGGGCATTTTTTTATTTTGGCTCTTGTGAATAAAGCTGCTGTGAGCATTGTTATGTGTATTTTTGGTGGATATATGCACTGTTTTCATTTGGGCATATACCAAGCAGTAGAATTATCAGTTCATGAGGTATATACATAGCTTTAGGTGTATAGAGGTAGACAGTTTTCCAAAGTAGTTATATCAGTTTATAGTCCCACCAGCAAGTAAGTGAGAATTTTTTTGTGAGTGATTTTTTATATTTTAATTTTAGCCATCCTGATGGTTCTGTAGTCCTGTCTTCATTTCCGTACACAACAATCAGTTTGTAGGCCCAGTATACTAATTCATTGATTTGCACTAGCTTAATTCACATGGGTTTTTAGAAGTGGTTAAGCTCTGTGTGAGTTCTGTTTGGACTTTAACCCTTAAATATTTGAGGTGAAGGAATAAAGGTGTTAGGTTCTTTATATTAATAGTAATTCTGTTGGGCTTTAATATCAGATTTGATCCATTGCAGTCCATTGTTCTAAAAAAGAAAGTTTGAGGTTGGTGCCAAAGCCAGCCTTTTAAAATTTTGTCCTTGGAACTTTTAGCAGATTCTGAGAGCTATAGACCTTATCTATAAAAGCAGAAGGTTAAAGTAGAAATCTAAGCTCTTTTTCAGCTCTAAAATAATTTAATCCAGCAGTTGGAAAGTATAAGAAACATCTCCTAGAATATCTTTTTTGCAGTTACTGGTTTTACCAATTATTGAGTTATTTTTTTCCTGGCACCCGTTACTTGCTTTTTTTCTCTATAACAAAATAAATTTAGCTCCTACTGGGGGAAACAGACACATGAATATATATTATAGATGTTTCTCTGATGCTAATTTATCTTTTTTTTTTTTGGAAATGTAGACACTTTGGTAGTTACTTAATCCATTTAAATATATAACCTACCTAGTGTGTGTGTGTTAGGTGCTCAGTCATGTCCAACTCTTTGCGACCCCATGGACTGCAGCCTGTCAGGCTCCTCTATCCATGGAATTCTCCAGGCAAGTATACTGGAGTGGGTTGCCATTTCCTTCTCCAGACCTACCTAGTAGGTGATCTTAACGGTAGCTTGTATGTGATATATGGCCCAGAAAAAAAGTGTTTTCTTGAGCAGAAGAATACTCATGTTTTTCTTTTCTTTTCTTTTTTTTTTTTTTTTAGCAGAAGAAAAATTCTTATAGGAGTAAGAATTATTTTTTTGCCAAATTATAAAATTTTGTTGAAATGTAAAAAAAATCCCATATCACATGATAAATTCTTCATCTGGTTTTATTTTTTAAAGGAAAGTGAGAAGAGAAGAAGGGTGGAGGAAGCATACAAAAATGCTGTGACAGAACTTAAGAAAAAATCCCACTTTGGAGGACCAGATTATGAGGTATGAAATTACAGTTTTGGTCTTAGAAAAAGAAACACCTAGAAAAAACATAATATATATTTATGTCACAAAAGTGATTTTTATATTATGCTTTTGTAACTTTTAAATATTTTGAATATTTTATAATATATATGCTAGGCTTACCCTGAAAAGATTTTTTTTCCTAGAAAACTTTAAAAGGCTCATTACTAGCCCCGTCTACTTTATAGGACAAGTTTCTGTCTAGCCTGTGAGGGTTATACTTATTTATATTACCTTGTAACTCTTCCTTTTTTTTAAATTTTATGATTTAAAATCAATAGCTGCATTATTTTTTTGCCTGCGCTGTGAAGCATGTGGGCTCTTAGTTCCCTAACGAGGGATTGAACCTGTGCTCTCTGCATTGGGACTGCAGAGTCTTAACCACTGGACCTCCAAGGAAGTCCCTGATTCTGTTCTTTTGTTTTTGTTTTTTTAAATAAAAGCAACCTACAGAGGAAAGCTCACGAGAACTTGACTGGTGAAAGATTTTAGTCTGCGCTGTATACTGTGAGGTCTTATCCATAGCAGAGCATGAGCTGTTCTAATTGCCTCACCTTTATGTTTGAAAAATGTCTGAAACCAGCTTCTTTCCCCATTTTGTTATTTGTTAAGCAGTTAGTAGAATCTGCATCTCCATATACACACACATATAGGAGTGCAAGCAGTATCATTGACATGGAAGTAAAATGTTTAAAAAAAAGACATTAGATTGTATTTAAGAAAGTAGAAGAAAAATTCCTTGCCGTTCTTATTCTAGAAAGGAAAAAAAGACCTGCTGTTGACAATATTTTTTATGTTGGGATTGATTTCCAGCTGTGAAAATCCATAGTATGAAGTCTCAAGTGATAATATTTTTAAATTAATAAGCTGTCATTTCATTCCTTCTAGAATGTATAAAAATTACATAATCAGCTATCGTCTTGGATTTTAAAGTCTAGATTATGGAAATATTAGCTGTTAAAACAAAAATTTTAATTTTTATTCTGAAGCTGAGCAGGTTGATTTGCTATTTTAGGTTTGTTTAGGGGGAACTATGAGCCTTTACAATTTGCCCTATTTTTTTCTTACTGCAAAGATGCATTGGCATATCCAGTCACGTCAGTTGGTTCAGATGTGTGATGTACGTTGCATGTGTGTATGCATCCTCTACAAGTGGCTGTGCTTTTGTGACCTCTAGTATTATATTATCTGTGTGACAAGTAGTATAACTTATCACAGTGCAGTACTGCCTAGCCCATTGTGTTAGTTAGGCACCTGAGCTGACTATGTGGGACTTCTGAACAAATTGGACTTACGAATGCACTCTCCAGATGGAACTTGTTTGTTCGTAGGGGACTTACTGTATGATTTCATATTTGTCTTCCCTTTTGTCATTTCAGAGGAGAGAAAAGGAGGGTCCTTGTGATAGGTTTATATGTTTATTAGTTTAAAGAAATTGCTTCATTGATGTAATTTAGGCTTTCTTTTTAAAATGTTTATTGGTTATTTGCATTTCTTCTTTAGTGGCTCTCTTGTACACATCCCTTGACATTTTTATTGTTAGAATTTGGGTGTTTTTCCTCTCTTGATTTAGAAGATGGACAGGACTGACTTCATTTCTCAATTATTTTCTTCTTTTTAACAGTTAAAAAAATATCTTATTAGTTTTGCCATGTGAAATTTTATACTATCTTGTATTTAACTCACAGTCTGGATACAGTTATCTTTATGTTTTTTTCATGTTTTAAAAAGCGTTCTTTTTTTAGCCTAAAGGTATAAACTGAGGCAGTCTCAAATTACCAGAAATGAGTTTATTTGGGAATAGCAGAGATTATGATTTGGGAAATGCATGCCAAGTAACAAGTTACAGGCAATTTTGTAGAGGCTGTGGGGCTAGCTGTATTTTATGGGCAAGGAGTACAGACAAGGGTAAGTCCAGCCAGAGTGTAAGCAGTAAGTTCATTACCTTGAAGATGGGGAGAGATACTTGGCAGATGGTCGTTGGTCTGAAGATAAGGCTCTGTCTTCTGTTGATCTGGCTTTATGGGAAATCATTCTCTCAGTTAAGTTCCATTCTTCAGGTACAGGCATGAGATTCCCATTTTATATCGTCAGATTCCATTTTAGATTGAAATCCTTTCACACTGTACTTCAAATAATTATGTATATTTTCTGTTCTTTTTTTTTTAATGATCTCTTCTAAATATATTAACACATCTGATTTTTTAAAAATTATGATGTAATGGAGGAATCTGTAATTTTATAATCCAGTTGGAATTGTTGACTAAACCATCTTTTTCCCACCTAGTTGAAATGCACCTCCCTCTTTCTCTTTTAATAGTTAAGGGGACTACAGTTTTTTTCTCAACCAGTTCTCTGTTGATGAAAAATTAAGAAAGAAATGGACATTTTTGTTGGAGCCAAATTGAGGATTATAAACCAGGAACAGCATCTCAGAAAGCTCTGACAACTGTTCCATCCATTAGAAGTGTTTTTGAGACAGAAGTCTCTACATCAAGTTAAATGATGTAATACTGACAGTTTACACAGTTCTCTTCTGCAAGTGTAAACTGGTAGGTAACATGACTCACTCCAAGATCAAGAAGGAAGGTTATCTTTTAAGGAGTTGGTCCTAGGAGAACATTGTGCTTTAAGATTGGGCAGGTGTTTTTGTTGATGGGGAAGAATTGGTCATGATGCAAGATGCAGATAATACAGTACACAGTAGCAGGGAAAGGGGAGGCCAAAGGCAGAGAAAAAGTTTTTTTAAAAAACACTTAAAAAAAAAACACTTAAATTTTTCTTGTCTTGCCATAAAATAATTTTATTTCACAATTTCCCTCTTTTGATCGTTAACCTTTTGATAGAAAGCATTAGGCAATCAGATATTTGGTTCCTTGACGCCAGGGTTGTTGCTCACCTGCCCTTGATCAGTCCGTCATGTCTCTCTAAGCTGGGTCCCAATAGCTCAGTTCTCTTTTGGCGGGGGGAATTACACCAGCAGAATGTTCAACGAGTACTGAGAGCCGATTCCAGGTTGTCCAATATGATTTAACCCAAATTTCCTCACATGTGCATTATGTATGCCCATTAATTTATAGAGCACTATATAGATGTGATCTACAAACTCAAATTGTGTAGACATCATTATTTTACTATTAGCAGGTGACACACAGTATGGAAGGCAAGAAACTATCACTTTGTAATTCCACAACTGTAATTTAAATTGTCAGGAGGACGAACAACATCATTAATAGAGATTTAAGCCAAGATCCTCCTAAACTGAACTCTTTTCCTAGTGTTTCCCCTAAACTGGGAGGAAGATTGCTATTGCTCAGAGTGGAAATTTAGATCTTCATGTGTCATAAGATGAGTTACCAAATATTGTGGCCAAATGATCATACCATTGGAAACCTGATAGGAACCAGTGTACTCACATTACAGATTGACAGAAGCTACCCATAAGGGACCTTAAGCCCAAGGCAAATGAATTATGTGTTTTCCTAACCAACCTGGGAAAAACCAAGGTCATGAATTTGTTCTGTAAATCCATTGTGTCATTGTGGGAGCTACCCAGTATTCACCATCTAATGAAATGGGTTATTTGGCTAGATTCAGAATAGGCATCTTTACTTGGCCAGGTAAGAGCATGTCACTTAGGGATATTGGCAGTGATATTAGCTTGCATGGTGCTAAAGTTTCTTTAAATTAAAATGTCCACGGGCCATCCAGTTAGAGCCTTGGAGAGGAGAAATTCAGCAGGGCAACCTGGGACATGGGTAATTGGCCCCAAACCCAGTGATTAGATTAATTTTAAACTTGCAAATATTGAATCCAAGAAAGAAACTGAAACCAAAAAACTGACTCATTAGAACAGACCCTGATGCTGGGAAAGATTGAAGGTGGGAGGAGAAGGGGACAACAAAGGGTGAGATGGTTGGATGGCATCACCAACTCGATGGACATGAGTTTGCGCAAGCTCCCAGCGTTGGTGATGGTGAGGGAAACCTGGTGTTCTGCAGTTCACGGGGTTGCAAAGAGTTGGATACCACTGCGTGACTGAACTAAAGAAAGAAATACATTTGATTCATAAGCAAAGGTATGAGTTCCCCCCACCCCACCAAAAAAATGAGCATAAGCAGTTATCAAAGTTACCAGTATACAGACCTGGTCCAGCATCTTGGATTAGCTGTCTCCTTCAGATGTCTTCTTGTGCTGGTCTGGTAATACTGTTTTTAGTTGAAGTCAGGTGTCAGAAATAGGAATTGCAGTTTATTTAGGAGAGGAAGCCTAATACAGTCCGTTCTAATGTGACTGAGTCCTTTATCTGAGACCTTTTCCAGTAGGAATAATCTCCTGGTTGTAGGTCATGGCACATCTGATCTTCATCCAAAGTTAAATTGTGATAAGCTTCAGAAACATACTTTGAGTGCCCTTTTAATAACTAAACTTTACAGTAATATGACAACAAGGAAACTATCTCGGAAAAGAATCTTAGGCAGTAGTGAAGACCTCACTTAATAAAACTAGAATTTAATATCCACTTAAACATTATCTTTCTCTCTCTAAAATTACCCTATAATTTCAACCAAATACAGCCACATTAAGACTAATTTGTTCACAAAATGTCTGATTAATTGACCACATAGACTCTTTAAATTGGCTGTGATGGAACTTTTCATAATCTCAGATTGAACCTAAACTCTCAAGGCCAAGAAAGCCACACCAAAGCATGTCATGGATTCTGCCTGTGATAAATGTAGAGTTGGGTGCTGGGTTTAGGTGAACTTCTGAATCCCTTGAGATTCCTGCGCCTGTTAGTAGGTGGCCTTCCTTGTATACCTGCTTAAGTTGCTGGGAACCTAAGAGTTTACAGATTCTATCAGGTAGGGAGAAAAAATAAATGTTTTAGTTTTATATACAGAGGTGTAATTTAAGGGTTCCTTTATATCTGGAAAGCAGATTAAAAATGAATAGTATTTCAGACAAAAAAACACAAA